CTGATCTCAATATGTCTCAGGGTCCTGTTTTGGCAGCCGATGGCAGCCAGGTGCGACGTTTGAGTGGCAAGCAGAAGCCACCGCCAGGCCTGGGTGAAGCTGATCAACCCGTCCAGCAGAGGTTTCCAGACTTTCCAGCAAACAGAGAGAAACGAGTTTCGTTTGATCTTCCAAAGAATCAACCCATACCAGAAAGTCTCCCAGTTGAAGGGGGTCAACATCTCGATGAGAATCCACATGATGTTCCATATTCGCCCAGCCTTGCACCCAGTTCTCCAAAGGCGTTGGACGAGCCAGAAGTCATCCATGACATGGAAGTAGACGACTCTGCTGACGGAATGGTAGATCTAAGTGAATTTGCAGCTGCTGGAGGCGAACCTACAGCCACGGAAGCTATGGAGCTAGATTTGGTAACAGCCTTGGATAACTTTGAGCTTTCGTATTTAGAAGAGCGTCACATTGGCATGTTGCAATCGGTTTATCAGATCCGTGGAGTGAAACCCAAGAGCAGCAAGGCAAACCTTTGTGGGGAAGAAATCTTACTTTTGTTTCCTGGATATGTCATCAGTGACGCCAATGGCCAATATCTTGACAAAGACCTTGCGTATGCAGGGATGCACACTGAAATCGATTCCATGACCAGTCAGAAGGTTGGCAGACCAATCCATGAGCAGGAAGCCCAGCGTCTTGCCAAGCAATGGCAGATTAGTATAATCACTTGCCGATGGGTTTGTGTTGAGAAAGATCCCTTGAATGTTCGCATGCGACTAGTTGCACGGGAAATGGCAAAAGGAAAGAGTTCTGCCCGTGACCTCATGGTTTCTTCGCCTACTTCCAGCATTGAATCTTTGAGAATCCTCATTGCAGAAGCAGCAGTCCTGGACCTGGTGATTCTAGGCCTGGACATCAGTGCTGCATTCATGGCTTCTCCTCTAGGCCGGCGTCTTGGCAAACCCATCAAAGTCATTCTGAAGATGCCACCAAATACTATGCAGTTTCCAGATGGTAGCCCGATATTCCTTGAAGCATTCAAGGCCATAAATGGCTTGAGAACAAGCGGTTTGGCTTGGGTAGAGCACTTAAGCCACTTGCTGCAAGAGTTAGGAATCAAACCGTCTTTGATTGAAACAACTGTTTTTTCTGGAGAGGTTTCAGTCAAAGGGCATGGAAAGGCATGGGTGCAAGTAGTTGCATACGTTGATGATCTGCTCGTGTTTGCCCCGAGTAAGGTATTTGCATTTGCCGTTCAAGACCATTTGGCCCTACACCTAAAAGTAAAACGTACGGGGCTTATAGAGCGAAGTTTTGAAGGGGGTGGCAGTTTGCGTTTTCTTGGCCGCAACATCGAAAGAAAATCCAACAGCAAAGAGATTACCATCAGTCTGGATGAAAACTATTTAGATGGTATGTTTGAGGCCTACAGCATCAGCACTGCCAGTACAAATCCTCCAGATCTTCGACCGGTACTTGAAGACAGTTCCAAGTCTGATGAATTATCCCCAGATGCGGCCATGCGGTACAGAGCAGCCTTAGGCAAACTGTCCTGGATGTCCCAAACATATGTTTTCATCAATGTATACATAGCTTTGCTAGCCACAGGCATGACCACACCGCAAGATCGCCATGAAAAGGCTTTGAGATCAGTGTTGAAATTCATGAAAAGCCAAAGAGGCATTTACCAGAGATTCCCATCTCCCGAAGCAACCATCGAGGAACAAGAAGCGCAACGCTTGGTAATCTACTGTGATGCCAGCTGGGCCCCAATGCGCTTTCTCAAGCGTAGATCAATTTCTGGCGCGTGTGTTTTTTATCGCGGGTCCATCATCAAAGCTTTCACAAGATTGCAACAAGTGGTCGCGCTTTCAAGTTGCGAGTCGGAACTGTCAGCATTAGCCGAATCCTTTCAAGAGAGCATGGGAATCAAGCGTATCTCTGAGCATCTTTTTCTAGAAACTCACGCGCGTGTGACCAACATCCATGAAAGTTTTCAAGCTTCAGATCGAATACACAGTCTTGCAAACTCCCTGATTTTTGGATTAGTTGATGAAGACCTTGAACATGCCACAGCCATTGAGGTGGAAGTCCGTTGTGATTCCCAAGCAGCCATCCGAGTCCTGACCTCACCAGGGCTCCAAAGACGCAGTCGCCATGTTGAGTTGAGAATTTGTTTCTGCCAAGAGATGGTCCGAAGAAGAACCATCATTCTCACATGGGTCGAGGGTTCACAGCAAATTGCAGATATTTTGACCAAGTGTTTAGGAATAAAGCTGTTTTTGAAATTCAGGACATCAATGGGATTCATTGAATCAGCAGAACTTCCAGCCAAACTGGCAGACCAACAATCTGAATCCCAAACAAAGCAGACAGCCAAAAAGAAGAAAGGAAAGACGAATCAAATCCAAAGCATTTTGTATGGGGGTAGGCCGGAGTCAGTGAATGTTCAGTCTTTGGAGTCGAACTCCCAAGATGAAGAGCACGTGCTTGCTTCCACAGTCTTTGTGCCAGACGCCCAGAAATCAGATCCATCACCGTTTGCTTCACAACCATTGAGCTTGATCTTAGAAACACAAGAAGCCAATTTACCAGAATTGTCGCCTAGTAAGTTTTCAGGGATCTTCTTGGAAATATGTTGCGGTGTGAACAGCAATTTAACCGAGTCGATTCAAGCCAGTTTTTGTGGAGACATTCAAATGGCAGTCATCCGAGTTTCCACAAGGGCAGATTTCACAATGTTTCATGCCCAGCTCAGTGATCTTGCGCAGCGATTTTCAAAGAAAGGTAAGCCTGTTTATGTGCATTTCTCCCTTCAGCCTTCAGGAAATTCAGACACGACTGAATATATCCCAGCAGATGCCGAGCCCACTGAATCAACGCAAGTTTCTGAGTTGGAACAAATTTTGAAACTGAGCCAAAGCCTCGCCGTTGCAGCAGATGAGTTCACTTTCGAGCTACCCAAGAGAAATAGGTATTGGAACAGTAAGTTCATGGCAGATTTCTTTGTGAAAGTAGGTCGCCATATCTATGCACAGTTCCCTCGGCTTTGCAGTTTTCCTGAAACAGATCCTAAGGTTGGAAAGATTTTCTTGTGGTTGGGAACCCATCCAAGTTTAGCCAGATCGTTGGCAAATCACACAGAGTGCAATTGTGAAAGTCACGTTGCATTCAATGCAGTCAATTGGGACAAAGTAAGCCATTATCCTGCTTCGATGTGTAGCATCATCGCTCAGGCCTATCGAGATGTTTACATTGGCAAGGACATGGCCAAGTCCACACTCCCAGCATACCGGTTTTTCGAGCCTGGCATGACAGAAATCCGATATTCCATGAAGAAACTGCTTGAGAACCCAGTTTGAACCGTCGTTGTTTTCTCCATTCTTTCCTGCCTGGGAGAAGCTCCGAGAAAAAAAAAAAACAATAGAGATGCCAAGCTAGCTGCCAGAGCCCGATCAGGCCTGGACGTGCGATTTTCAGTGAGATGATGAGCCGATGGGCCATGCAATTGAGATTCAGCCAGCGAAAGGGGGTGCGAATGTCATACACCTCTTTCGATGCGTATTCATTGTCTGGTCGCTGGCGGACTCTCAACCAATCACTAATCACTTGCTGCAAGCTACAAGCAAACGTTGCCCCAACAAAACAAAAAAACAAACTTGCTTTTAGCAAAGTCTTCAAGTCTATTTGACTTCACGTGATACTATATCAAATCATACCCACATGCATGAGCAAAGCGACAGCCATTTAAGTATGACACTTGGATCTAGAGATTTGCTTGTTTTCAGCATGCCATCAATCCCTTTGAGCGCTCCTCCGAACACCTCAAAACTCTTTACAACCTCCTCCAAGACAGTAAGCTGAACTTGCTTGATGATGCTGTAAACTCATCCTATGCCATTCAGCTTGCATTGCCAGCTTGGAATAATTTTCTCCGAATTTTTCAAGTGATTTCAGAGATTTGTGAAAGTGTCTTTTGCTGCATAGCATGTGACACGTTTTGTGCGATTTGAGCAAGTCGTATGCAGTTTAGAGCTTGATTTCCAACTTTCCTCACAGCGCGTTCAGATTTCGAACGCGGAACAGTGATTTCAATCTTTGACAGAGCATTGAGATTTCGAACGCGGAATTCACATAGTGATTTCATTTTTGGAGAAACATTTAGACGTGCGAAAGAGGAATTTATAATCAGCTGCGGTACAGCTTATGAGTTTGAAGCTTCTCAGAAATCGTTTTGCGACGTTTCCACGGTTGAGACTTTTTTAAACATCCTGATGATCTCCTATTGTCTTGCGTTTCCTGGGTCCAAGCAATCTGTGAGATCGAAGTTTTTGAACCGCTTTTGATCACATTTCCAATTTGAGAGCCGTGCAAATTTGCAAGAGTTTTTTTTCCGAACTAGAGTAAGCAGACATGACGTCTGAACCGAATGTGAGTTTGGAAACAATTAGAGAATTTGACCGCAACCAAGCTTTCAGCTCTCCCTGTTGCCACAGCATTGTGAACATGCTCAGCCGCATCGTGCTTCCTTTGATCAATGAGATCAGCATTCCGCCAACAACATGTTGGCTCAAGATTAGGAGGCGTAAATTCTGCTAGCACAGTGAGACAAAAAGGGCGTGAGTTGTCAAGCAGAGTTGTCCACATTCTCAGTTGCAATTATCTACTCTTCTGGGGTGATAATTCTCGCAGGTGGTGGTGGTGGTGGTGGTGGTGGTGAGGTCCAAAGGGTCCAAAAGTGAACACTAGGCCGTGCGTGAGATTCCGTGGTGTGGACCTTCTTGGGAGTTCTTCCGGATGTCAAAGATGTTTTTCCGCCCAATGTCCAGGTTTCCGACTGTTAGATGTATTTCAGAGGTTGCTATAAACATATCATATCCGCCCAAGTTAACAATCATCAACACACTGTGGATGGTTGCGAAATCCTGCGCCACATTCAAGGGTTGAAACCCTTTACTTACTATAGTGGGATCAACCACCTATCAACTGGTATGGTTGCCACCTGGAAGGACTTTGCCATCACACCTAGGGACATGGATGGACCAGTTCCGGTAGCAAAACCAATGCTGCTTGGAGGAGCCAAGGGGCTAGGAATGGGGTCATGAATTTGTTTCCTTCACGCACGCCCGGAGATATACATATACATATATATTTATGTATGTATAATTATGTATACATATATCTATCTATCTACATATTTATATATATAATTGCATGTTGAGTATGATTGTATGTGCATGTTTTTTTTACACTGCAGGTATTAACGCTATGTACATGTTTGCACATCATCAAATGGCTAGGCCTGGTTCATGGCGCCACTCCTTTATTGATGATGTATGTATATGTATGAACGCATATTGTGCAAAGATTTTTCCAAACATATGCCGGCATGGTTTTCAATGCAACCAGGATCTGGTCCATCACCAGCAGCGTCATTTTTCCTGCTGCCATGGTCAAAGTCTCAGGAGCAGAGTACTACGGCACTCCAGGGCAGCGGAAAAGTCACAGATGGGATGGGCACCCTGGGAAAGAGGCAACCTTCACAGTGACCTGGAACACATGAGATTCAAGTGAAACACACACACACATATATATATATATATGTATGTATGTATGTATGCATGCATGCATGCATGTATGTATGTATGTATGTATGTATGTATGTATGTATGTATGGGTGCAAGTCAAATAATAAGGTCCCGGAACACCCGTTCCGTCCATACCTCTGTTCCATACCTCTGATCCATACGCTATGATACACACACACATATATATATATATGTATATATATATATATTATATCATATATGTATATATATATATATATATATATATATCCGTGTATATATCCTCACACATATACATATATATATATATGTATATATTTGAACATGTGCAATCTGATTCAACATGTGTATGCACATACATAGCGCGCATACATACATCAGTGCATACATGCAAGAATACGTTTACTATGCCCAAGCCTGTGATTGTGTTGGCAAGTCTGTGCTACACTTGCAGCTGCTACCTACTTTGTTGTGTGTTGGTAGGGATGTGCACAATGTGCTTGGCTGCTGCCAGCTGGCAGTCTGGTTGCTTTCTGCGCTACTCTCGCTCCAAACTGCCAATTTTGATCAAGATGTTCTCACATAGACTGCTCCTAAGCCATCCTTTGCGCATGGGTTATGGGAGCCTAAAGTTTTGCTACGCGGGGACACAATCTACCCCATGGGGGCCTCTGAGTTTTACGAGTAGGAGGTGGGACCTGTGTGACAGGTCTGAAGAGCTGAGTGGACAGCTTCACATTGTAGCCAGTGGGTGACGCTGGCTACCGGTTGTGTCTTAGCTAGCGCACGAGCATTAGCCATCCAAGGCAAACCTGCGGTCAACAGGTGTACAACAAGGATGTCGTGCATATGAGAAGTGAAAATGAGCGACATCTAGCGTGAGTAGCTTCAACATGCATATCCTTGAGATGTATGTGACAGTATATGATTTACACAATATACAGGTGCAAATACTGTATATATATATATCTATCTATTATTTATTTATTTACTCATTTAATTGTTTTATGTTTGTAAAGCCTATATTTCATCACACTACAAAAGTCCGGAACAAGACCAGTTACGAAGCCCCTTCGTTCCATACGTCCGAAACACCGCGGAACGTTCCATACACAATTTTGATTCACAACCATATATATATATATATTGTAGTTAATTAGTTGATTACTTAGTATATGTATACATATGTAAATGCATATATATATATAGAAATTCATGTTTGATTTCCATTCTTAGATCCAAGACTTGAAGAAACCAACCCCCTATGTCGGGTTTTCACTTAATGACCCGTTGATGATGACTGCCAAACCTGACAGGGCCTCCCAACCTCCACACAGCTTCACAAGGATCTCAATGTTGAAGGCCTTCCTGGGACATTTTGTTGCTCAAGGCCTTTTTTTGGGGCCAAACCTGGTAACCGAAATCTCCATGTGGGCGAGACAAGTCACAAGCTGGCCAGGGTTCAACGGGTCCAACCGCAACGAAATGGCGGCCCGTGGTTTGAGACGTTCAACGTAATTGACTTATATATCCAACTCTGATCCATCAGCTGGACGCTTTCACACTCTTGAACAATTCCAAGCCGAGCCAATTTTTCGCCCACGTTTTCATATCCATGGCCCTTTGTGGCTGACCTCCTTTGGACTTCGCAGCATGGCACGGCTTCCTTGGCGCAACTTTGCAGTGCTTCTACTGTGCGCAGCAGTGGGGTCCATCGGCGACGATGCTGTGGATCTGGAAGATGAAGTGCAGCACCTCTCCCTGATCCAGGCGCCAATGGAGAGATAGCAGGATTCCAAGTATGGGATGGATGACCAATCACATAATGATTTCTGTATATATATATATACAAAATCTTTCTATCCAATAATCTAATCTAATCTGATCTAACCTAACCTAATCTAATCTAATCTAATCTAATCTATCTATCTATCTATCTATCTATGTATCTATCTGTCTAATTAGACATTGATATGTTTAATGACCATGGCAAATAGAAGTCGCCGGTAACTTTGGGAAGATGGCTATGCTAAAGCACCTCACAACTGGAATGTATATATACCGATCGGCCCCAGTTATGATGATGATATCGCTACGATGTGTCTTGCGGCTTGGAAGGTGACTGCGCACTTCAACATCTCGACCCTCAAGGACACCATTTACGCTGGGTCGCCTCAAGGGCATAGCAAGGTCCAGTATTCATCAGTATTCCACCTGAAAGCCATGAAAAAAGTGTCGGATCTCCCACTTCAACCATCGTGTATTTTGGGGAACCCTTGGTTGAGTGCGTCAATTTTTCTCCAAAACTGTAGGTTCCATGTAGATACATACAAACCGACAAAAAATCTGAAAGGATAGTTTTATATATAATATCATACATGTACATATAATATCATATATATATAATATTATTGATTTATTACCACATAATTTTATTTATATCTCAATAATATCAAACATACATACATGTGTTTTTATATATTATTATTATATATATAAAAAGTATACCTATATAAATTATATAAGTTTATGTGTACACATATATATATATATATATAATGTTGGTTTGCAGTGTCTAAAGCAAAGGTTGGCCACCCGTTAGGTTGCTACTTGTAGAGGGGTGACTATGCGGCTGCCCTACAGCGTGTCAGGAGCGCGCGGAAGATATGCTGTCCGTGTTCAAGGAGGATGCAGCTAAGGTGCCTGGCCCCAAAGTTGAAGGGGCCTTGGGGAGTGCAGACTAGTGCTTAGGATATGTTTGATTTTTTCTTTTGCTTGAGAAGTTCGCTATTCATCCCAAGCAAATCAAGGACACAAGTGAATTCAAGTGAGCGAACATGGGCATGGACTTATTTGAAAATCGACGCTCCAACAAAAACGAGAAAACTTGAGATGGACACATTTTCTGCATTACGATGTCCAGGGGCTTGATTGAGTTTCAGTATTTTGCTCTTCCCCCTGGGTTTTTCAGCAGTAGCTGCCGGAAATCCAGGGGCGTTTGGGATCTCCAATCTTGGATTGAATCCCATTAAATCTATTTAAACCACATCTAATCTATGTAAATTCCATGACATCCCATTAAATAAATCTAAGTCCCAAGCCGCGGAGGCAGCACAAGCGGTGACGCGTGGAAAACCCAAACAAGGCGTGATGTTTGGATAGTCGCTGAAAAAACTCCATGGCCGAGCCATGGAGGTTTAGTTCGCTGCTTTTAAGGGGAAAATATATGGGAAACTCATCTATAAATGAAACGTGTCCTGTTGGCAGGTTTGATGACCAGATGGTATCCCACATCCGTGAGTGGTGCCATTAATCGATTTCTTGTGAATGAAAGTGCTGAATGCTGTCACGAAGAGAGCGGTTGTGACAAGTCTTCTTTTTGGCCGCACAGTAGTTTTACCGTCAAAGAGACAGAATGGTGGGTAAATCCCGTGTACTAGTGCGCTCCCTGGCAATTCAACATAGCAATGGGCAATCACCATTTTTGATAGGTAATTCAGCAATTCATTTGTATACTATGTTCCCTTGCTATGTTAAATTAGCAACGGGGAATTGTTAGTTTGTTTGTTGATTTCTGCAAGGTTGCCTTTTGCAAGCTGGTTGTTAACCACCCCAGCAACTACATATGAAAAAATACATATATATATATATTTAATATATATATATATATATCATGTGATATCTATGTGCCACAAAAGTCCATAAACCCAAGTTATAATGGTCATAAACCAACTTAGCTAACGAACTGGGGCACCGGCACCACCAAACGTATCCATGGTTTTAGGAGGACCATTTCAAGTTCGTAAGTTCTGCGCCACGCAGGTCCGAACGACAAGAAAGGCAGTGAGGTGTATCAAGAACAGCGCCCTGGGTTTCCACAGCAAAGTATTTTTTTGAAATAGTAACCACCTCGAAAGAGCGGGATGTCCAACATTTCTCTTGTTTTTTTTGATGGGTTCGCTTGGTGTCCTGAGTGTCCTAATTCTCCATTTTTTGGATGGTTTTTGTTCCAGGGGAACGCGCTTGCTTGGGTTCCAGTCTGCCAAGGCTTGGATTGAAGAAAAACAGCGGAGGAGATGTGGAGGTGCTGCACACTACATGGATGTGATGTAACTGGGGTCTAGCCTTGCCAAATTGCAAGTTTCATAGTGAAAATATGTGAAATTATGATGACCTGTCAACATTATTTGTTTTTGGGGGCCCAATTTTCAATCAAACCCACAAAAGTCCCAAACCCACATAGATAAGGGTCAAACGTGGGGCACTAATGGACCAACAAAATTGGTCATGTTGATTCATCTCGTGCATTGATTGGTTAGACCATTTTCTTGTGCCAATGATTTTGACCCAATAACCACGACATGGCAAATGTTAAACCAGGATGATTAGTATAAATGCTTCAACCATCAGACCTGTTTATTGCATCTAACCATCAAACACGGGGATCTGCCAACCCAACATGGCGGATTCGATCGGCCAAACCGGGATATGAATGCACATCAACACGGTTCTTTTCATTTGATTCATGCAGGCGGCAGCCCCGGATTCATGCCAGCGTTAAATACTGCTAGTTAACTGACCACCAGCAGGACCATCATGTGTCGTGACACACTTTTCGCTGAAGAGCCAAAGAATGGCCCTACCCCCAGCAAGGGAGGTTTACCCATTGCAGACAGTATTTTTCAATATTGTACAGTTGTATGTTGTGTAATGCTACGCCCCTCCAAAAAAGTGATGCAAATAAACATTAAAGGGAAAAAACAGGACGGGAACCCCCTTTTGAAGAACAATATGCTAGTACTCAGTCGCGCCCGACCTCGCAGGGGCAGGATAGATTGGTCAGGGGAAGGAGGAAAGAAAATCAAAAAGATGGTTTCCAGTTCCAATTTTCCCTTCCCGGAATCCCAGTGTTTCACTGGCAGACCCTACGCACATCCTTTGTTTTCAACATGCTGCTGATCATTACCTACTTGGGCCTGTTTGCCCTTCTCCAGTGACTGGGCAGCAAAGGTCAGCTGTGGAATCATTGAACCCACTGGAGGGGGTTCCCACGTAGGATGGCCATACAAAGGCGAACCCCTGCAGTTGGGGATGTCAAGTGCCCATGTCTTGGGATGGAAATCCCAAAACAATGAACAACTATAGCCTATGAACTTCTAGAGTGCTTCTGGGCTCCAGGTGGCTCATTGTAACATAACATCACTCTAACTTCATTGCCTCTGCAAGATGGGGTTCTTCAGATTCCCACGGTCCCACGGCAAAAAATGCGATACAAGGCACTTTCAACCAATCGTGTACCTCAACAACTCCCAGAGGGGTCGGACGCCCCCGCCGCGGGAGTCGCAGCTCGGCTGTCCAGGAAAACCCAGGAAAGGGGGTTGCGCCCCAAAGATATAGCCATATTATGCCATACTTTTGGGCAAAAATCATGCAACATATTGAATTGGCCACTTCATGGGCCTAATTTTGGAACAAACTATAACAAACTCACGTTTTCCCATGTTTCTTGGGGCTCCAAAATGAATGGTTTAAAGACGAAACATGACCAACAAAAAGTGGGCCCGCGGATGCCCTCTCCATCGCCAGTATATCCTGCCCCTAGATCTCAAGAGCTTTGCCTTCAGGGCGCGCTGGGGAGGTATAGCCGTTATAAATACTGGTTGGTGGTTTGGCAGGTTTGGAACTTGTTTTATTTTTTCACATATATATAGATATATATTGGGAATAATCATCCCAACTGACTAATATTTTTTAGAGGGGTTGAAAAGACCAACCAAAATATATGGTTTTGAGATTGTAGGAGGGGAGTTGTCACTTCATGTGTTGAGAGACTTGCCAACCTTGATAAGCGACCGCTTAGTGACTGGGACGAGGATACGAGGTTGCATCCATTCAGGTTGAACGGATGCAAAAACTATGCCGGAGCCAAACAAAAAGAAACAGTCCCTGGCCTGGTTTATAATCATGCTCAGTTCAATACAGTCAAGTGGTCGCTCGAAAAAAACAAGATAATGCTACCGTTAAACAAGGAGCTTGACTGGTTGAATCCCTAGATGGAAACCCCCCTCAACACCCTAGCACAAAATGCCCAAAGATATCCTCATGATACCGTTCTACTGTATCCCCATGATACTTCTAGTATCTCCCCATTGTATGTATCACTATATTTCATCTAAATCGCACTTGTGTTAGCATAGAATTTTGTGTGATTGTGGAAATCGTATCAAATTGTCTCATGATATTCCCGTTTATCCTAATTATTACATTGTAAGGCGCTTGTGGCACTATGACTATAATGTTTAACGATGACCATGTAACACACGCCCATCGTAGGAGCCAAGTTGGCTTGCTGCCAGGTATGTATGTATATATATATATAATATATATATGTGTGTGTGTGTGTCTTTAATGTTTTTTTTTTGTATATATATATGTATATATATATATATGTGTGTGTGTTTGTTAAATGTATTCCACACTGGTGATGAAGGAATGCGATAGCAACTGCAAAAATCACAGTTGCACAATCAATAAACAAAATCCACTGTGATTCAACATATCAGTGCTGTTCACAGCACGTATGGTCAGCACTAGGTACTACGGCTTCTGCCTCAGCCTGGACCAGATTCAGGCGGGTTTCAGGTTGAGACAAGGAATCCATCCATTTGAGGATTTAACCATGAAAACTTTTGAATAACTTTTGAAAAATGTGGTTTTATTGGTGTTTTACATGATTTAACATGGTTTAATTCGATTTAACATGATTTACCTAATTTTACCTCTGGAAAATGTGAAGAATGGTGATTACCTGATTACCTGTCTGAAAATTGTGATTCAACCACTGATTTCACAGTTCCATGGTGGTTTTGCATAGCATTTAATATGGGATACGCTTTTCCAACTTGATATGAATTCTCGGTGTGTTTGAACATCGGTGACTTTTAATAGAGAACCTGATGTGGAATTTAATCCATTCGATTTTGGTGTACAGTACCCTATTTTCAGACAAACGCATTTGGAATCCTGCTGTTTGGTTGTAAAAATACCTATCCGAATTTTGTTGACTAATCCTCCATAGCACCCACGGTTACATCACCTTTTGGGATTGTGGGGATTTCAATCAATGCAGCAAAATCCACCAGTAAAGAAACTCCTGGGGGTGCAGTTCCGCTAAGATGTGGGGTATCCATTTTTTCACCCCGGGCCTGCATCCCCAAGTCCTTAGTCCCATCCTCGGGGTCAGCCAGGACTATGCCGGCCTGGACGGCGCTCTCTTGGTGGAGTTCTGCCATCTCGGAATGCGCATTTGTTTGTTGCCTGGCTGATACGGTGATCTGTGATGATGTTTTTGGAATGCTTTGAGGTCAAAGTACTGAGAGGTCTTTCGGTATGAGAGATTCATTATTGTATAGTGTTTTCTTAGTGGTTTCAATCATATTTGATGTTCAACCTGTGCGGATGATCCGAATCATCGTGCCCTCCGCCCTGAGGTATTTAGGTGTACCCCTGGCGTTGCTCTGTTTGCCAGCGTATTTTTGGCTTGGAAAGCATCCCAGCATCTTGGCGACTAAGGCTATGTCCTTAGGGTCCTGAGGGTAGATGCATGGTAAATACTCTATATATATATATATAATGTTTTGCTAAACATTCCCGAGCCCAGGACAACACAGAACCGCATCCTAAAGTAAATGGACTTTTCCTGAATATCCCACCATTTCACTATGTTGATCACTTTCCTGGCGTGGATGATCTTACATGGCCACGCATAGGTATGCTTTGTGCAATGCTTTTCTTTAAGAAGATTAGGGAATTAATGTTTGCTGCTGATTAGTGTGAGGCCCCCCCCAAACAATTTCAGGATACTCTATAACTCGCACTTTTCTTGCCACCCCCCAACATTTTTTTGATTAATCAACTTAAGAAAGGATTCCAATTTACTTTCAATTTACTTTCAATTGATTTCTTGTTACTTTTAATTGATTTCAATTTACTTTTATTTGATTTCAATTTACTTTGAATTGTTTTCAATTTACTTTCAATTGATTTCAACTTACTTTCAATTGATTTCAATTTACTTTTAATTGATTTCAATTGATTTCAATTTACTTTCAATTGATTTCAATTTACTTTCAATTGATTTCAATTTACTTTGAATTGGTTTCAATTTACTCTTAAATAATTTCAATTTACTTTTAATTTACTTTCAATGGTTTTGCTTTTTCACTCCCAAAAGTTGGTGCTCACAATAGAGTACCATCCAAACAATTATATTATTCAGTAACTGAGCCACTCATGAGGTACCACCTTGAAAAATTGTCTGGGTGCTTTTTTTTAGTAAGGGTTTAGTAAGGCATCTAATCATTTGGAAAACCTTGCAATTTAAAGCTTTAACGCAAATATGGCTTTCTAAAGTAAAGGACCAGCTTTACCCAAAGAAAGGTGGAGAAAGGGTTTTGTTTTTTTTTCCACTCCCAAAAGTTGGTCCTCACAATAGAGTACCATCCAAACAATTATATTATTGAGTAACTGAGCCACTCTTGAGGTACCCCCTTGTCTGGGTGCTGTTTTTAAATAGGGGTTTAATAAGGCATCTCATTATTTGGAAAACCTTGCATTTTAAAGCTTTAACACAAATATGGCTTTCTAAAAGTAAAGGGACCAGCTTTACCCACAGAAAGGTGGAGAAAGGGTTTGCTCCCCACCTGCCAGGTGAGGGTTGTTAGATTTTATCAGAGTTGTTCTTCTCCTTCTCCTCCTCCTTCTCCTCCTCCTTCTCCTCCACCACCTCTGCCTCCACTTCCATGTTCACTTCCGCCTTGCCAACTCTTCGCCAAGCTCTTCGCCAACTTCCTCACGCAGTGGGCACTGCTGGACCTCAACTGCAAGGGTCCGAGCTCAGTGAGCACCAACCTGGGACCGTCCGAGCTCAGTGAGCACCGCTGGACCTTAACTTCGGACCCTCCGAGCTCAGTGAGCACCGCTGGACCTCAACCTGGGACCCTCCGAGCTCAGTGAGCACCGCTGGCCCTCAACGGCCAGATAGAATGCCAGAAGATATGCCAGATAGAACGCCAGATAGAATGCCAGAAAGAATGCCAGATAAAGTGCCAGAATGTTTGCCAGATAGAATGCCAGAAGCTATGCCAGATAGAATGCCAGATAGGATGTCAGAAGATATGCCAGAAGATATGCCGGATAGAATACCAGATAGAATGCCAGAAGATATGCCAGAAGATATGCCAGGTAGAATGCCAGAAGATATGCCAGATAGAATGCCAGATCAAATGCCAAAAGATATGCCGGATAGAATGCCAGAAGATTTGCCAGTAACAAATCGATAACTGTCATGGTGGGGATCACACGAAGTAAAGTATTTTTTTCACTCCCAAAAGTTGGTGCTCACAATAGAGTACCATCCAAACAATTATATTATTCAGTAACTGAGCCACTCATGAGGTACTCCCTTGAAAAATTGTCTGGGTGGCATCTAATCATTTGGAAAGCCTTGCATTTTAAAGCTTTAACGCAAATATGGCTTTCTAAAGTAAAGGGACCAGCTTTACCCAAAGAAAGGTGGAGAAAGGGTTTTGTTTTTTTCCACTCCCAAAAGTTGGTGCTCACAATAGAGTACCATCCAAACAATTATATTATTGAGTAACTGAGCCACTCTTGAGGTACCCCCTTGTCTGGGTGCTGTTTTTAAATAAGGGTTTAATAAGGTATCTCATTATTTGGAAACCTTGCATTTTAAAGCTTTAACACAAATATGGCTTTCTAAAGTAAAGGGACCAGCTTTACCCAAAGAAAGGTGGAGAAAGGGTTTGTTGTTTTTTCACTCCCAAAAGTTGGTGCTCACAATAGAGTACCATCCAAACAATTATATTATTCAGTAACTGAGCCACTCATGAGGTACCCCCTTGAAAAATTGTCTGGGTGCTTTTTTTTTAGTAAGGGTTTAGTAAGGCATCTAATCATTTGGAAAACCTTGCATTTTAAAGCTTTAACGCAAATATGGCTTTCTAAAGTAAAGGACCAGCTTTACCCAAAGAAAGGTGGAGAAAGGGTTTTGTTTTTTTTCCACTCCCAAAAGTTGGTGCTCACAATAGAGTGCCATCCAAACAATTATATTATTGAGTAGCTGTGCCAATCATGAGGTATCCCCTTGAAAAATTGTTTGGGTGTTGTTTTTTTAATAAGGGTTTAATAAGGCATCTAATTATTTGGAAAACCTTGCATTTTAAAGCTTTAACACAAATATGGCTTTCTAAAGTAAAAAGACCAGCTTTACCCAAAGAAAGGTGGAGAAAGGGTTTTTTTTTTCCACTCCCAAAAGTTGGTGCTCACAATAGAGTACCATCCAAACAGTTATATTATTCAGTAACTGAGCCACTCATGAGGTATCCCCTTGAAAAATTGTCTGGATGCTTTTAATTAGGGTTTAATAAGGCATCTAATTATTTGGGAAACCTTGCATTTTAAAGCGTTAACACAAATATGGCTTTCTAAAGTAAAAAGACCAGCTTTACCCAAAGAAAGGTGGAGAAAGGGTTTTGTTTTTTCTACCCCAAAAGTTGGTGCTCACAATAGAGTACCATCCAAACAATTATATTATTGAGTAACTGAGCCACTCATGAGGTACCCCCTTGAAAAATTGTCTGGATGATGTTTTTAAATAAGGGTTTAATAAGGCATCTAATTATTTGGAAAACCTTGCATCTTAAAGCTTTAACTTAAATATGGCTTTCTAAAGTAAAGGGACCAGCTTTACCCAAAGAAAGGTGGAGAAAGGGTTTGTTTGTTTTTTTTTCCACTCCCAAAAGTTGGTGCTCACAATAGAGTACCATCCAGACTGATCCACCCATAGTGTAATTAATTAATTAATAAAAAAAGGAAGCAATTTAAAAAAAAATATATATCTATATATATATATATAAAAAAGGAAGCAACGAAAAAAAATGAAACAATGGTAAATAAAAATAAAATCAAAATAAAAAAGAAAATAATTAAATAAAAATATAATATAAGTATATAAAGAAAAACAAAAAAATAGAAAAATAAGCAATAAAGCAATTAGAAAAAAATAAAAAGTGGAGAAACAAAAATCTGGAAAAAAATCTCACAATAGAGCCCCCCCCACAAACAGCATGTTACTGAATTAGGAGAAAGAATTTTCTCACAATAGGGTACCATCTTACTAATCGGGTGCAAACATTAAGGCAGATCAGTACCGAACAAATGGCATTGGGTGAACATGGTGGTCAGCCATCCAATTCACGGGGCCTGAATGGGCGTGGAGAAATCACATTGCTCTATCGTTTGGTATAGGTGTACATTGTTGGCTAATATGTCCATTTTGCCGTGGATTTTTCAGTAATCAAACTTTTGCATGAATGGTCATTATGTATATATATATATGTGTGTGGGTGTATATATAAATAATACAGTATGTAAATAACCACTCAACTTTGAGTGGCGAGACGCTAATTTGTGTATTTCATTTTTCGTGGGTAAAATCACATTACCATACCCCTGAGGCCAAGATGATTCGCAATGCAGCAGGACGGTTCCTTGGCAGCTGAGTCACGAAACGAGAGGTCTGTTATTATCATTACCTTTCAGATGGTAATGGGAAACCCCTTGAAATGTAATATATATATATATATGTGTGTGTATATATATATATTATTTAATTGGGAATATGGAGCATTACCTACACATGTGGGTGTCTCCTCCCACCCCTACTGTGGATATTGAAGGTTGTAGACTTCCCTACCCTAGAACGATCAAAAACGCATGACGCTCTTGATGGCAGTTCTATCAACAAACAAAAGTAGTGAATAGTGGTCATTTGACCGTCCCAAATTCCAAATGGATGTGAACAAAAACAGGTATATTGGCCACAGATGAGTTGCTGTGCTCTCAAGCAGTCTGAGCATACCAACGGATGACTGCACCGTTGGTGCCGGCTGGTCATGAGCACGATGAAGTTTTTGCAGGTCAACTAAGGTAAGCCGTGATAGCCAGCTACAGTAATGATGCTCAGTCACTTGGGTACATGAGCTCATTCCAAATAGCTTTTTGTCTAAAGTAGGGGGAAGATTCGTTTCAGCTCTTTGGGCGATGCCCCTTGGTGACCGCCTTGGTGCCGCTGAATCTGGGTGACGTCACCGCTGAAGGTACACCACACTCCAAGAAGTTCCTTGGACCTCTTCAGCATCGCCTCACTTCGCTGCAACCAGACCATGCGTGCCTTGGGCACTCATAAAACCCCTCCGACCTCATATATGGTTGGGATCAGGGGAACCACCCCCAAATGATTGCGTTTAAGGTTGCTGATCATTAAATTATACTTCAATACGCCCGATGCATCCCAAAACAAGCTAGTTATAATGCTATAACATGTTATATCGTGTTATAACCACCATGTCAGCAATATTCCGAACATCCCTCCTGCTGGTACCATGCGGTATCATCGCAGGTTGGTTCCTGGCGCTCTTCGTGTGGTTCGTGGTCTACTTGGTGCAGAGCATGCTGTGGGACGCGCAGAAACGCTTCGTGCAGATGCGCATCGCTTGGCTCCAGCACCGTGGCAAATGTCGTCGCACGGAACGGAGAAGTGAAACGGTTGAAAAAAGCAGAGGGTGGGAATTTGCTCTGGAACCAAACGTGCCACACGTGGGGATATCATATTCTTATATGCTGTGATTATCTCACTAGGCACACAGGGACTATTCGTTGCACGGTTTTGACAGAAAAGATCATGTATGCACATGCACACACACACACATCATCCATCCATCCATCCATCCATCCATACATACATACATACATACATACATACATACCTACCGTACATACATACATACATACATACATACATACATACATACATACATACATCCAAACATCCAAACATCCATCCATCCATCCATACATACATACATACATCCTTCCATCCATCTATACATTTTTGAATACGTAGAATATACATCAGTATGGTTGACGGTTTTATGCGTTGCTCGTTGGCCAAAGGATATGTTGAGAAACATTGGGATTCAATCATGCCATGTGTCGTGTTTTAAATGGTCCTTTTAGAGTTCCATGAATTCTGGTGGATGAACCGGGGAAATCCAGGTCAAACGGATGGGAGAGGATGTTAAGGGCTATCATAGAAAGTCAGGATACACAATCAGCTTGGTTTGTTTGAAAATAGGGTGCCCCGTTCGACTCATTGGTGATTTTGGACATGCACCCAATTTTCAGGCACATCTGTGTATGTATATATACATATATAAGTAGATTTTTCTGTAGTATGTATGTATATGTGTATGTATATATGTACACAAATATGTCATGTATTGTTGGTGAAACATATCCCATTCTACACCTTATTTGCACATGCAATCACCCGATGAAACCATATCCCAGAGTCAAATCCACTGCGTGCTGGATAAACCGCCATTCCCACCATGTTCCATGCATTGTGGCTTGCTTAAACTCCACAAAATCCATTTAGAAAACCATCATTGCTCACTATGTTTGATGGTTAGATCATGTTAGATCCTGATGTGTTCATCATTCTTTCCATATATTTAATATATTTGTTTTTAACGTTCTGGTCCCTGTCCCCCATTCCCACGCCTTTGCAACGCCTTTCGCGCTTCGCGTTTCTCCAGGCAGAGGCCGAAACCTCAAAGCTCCACGATTTTGGTGTCCAACATCCCACCGCGCTACCGCCGCTGAGTTTGTGGAAGATGCATGGAAGACGCGGCTTCGATATTTTGTCATGTGAGATAGTATAATCATGCATGCTTCCGCAATGTTATTTAAACTGTAAGTAGTTATAGAATTTGTTTGAGTTTGAACATTAAGATACATAAATAAATAAATATATATATATACATACACATATAGGATTGCCTTCAAACAAGCACATGAATTTACATCATGATTCATGAGTGCTTACCCCAGATTCACTTGTCAAAAGCGGTGTGACTTGTTGTCCTGCTAGTCTTGGATTTCAGATGCATGGTGTTTGATGAATTTGTTCGGTCCTGGACTCAATGCCCTCATGGAAAAGAAATATGAACTCTATAAACCTATCCGCCTATATAATATTAAACACTCCCCAGTAACCATGGTTTAGTAGGGGGGTTACACACATGTTGGACCCATATAAAAGTGTTTAATTTCACGGGGATGGGATTATAATCTAATCTGGTTCATTAGATTAACCCTATAATCCATTAAGAATCCAGCTTTTTAAAGCGCAATCCTAGCATAAGACTGGTGAATCCCTGTGGCAAAGCGGAAAAAGGTGATGACAGTTTGTGTGTGAACTGGGGAATAACTGCCCAATATATTCCCAATATTATTTTCTTAGAATGGGACAACTGGTTGTATATGCAGATATATGCACACACAGACATATACATATATATA